TTTTTCGTTTCGATCGATGCATAGGGAGCTGCTTTTCGTCGTCGTGATCGGGTGTGACTCGTGTCCTTTGCCTCGTCGACTACCGATACCTCATCTCGTATTGGTTCTTTAACAGTATGTTCTTTCTTTGATGCTTTTGCCTTTTTTGTTATAGAAGACGAGAATTGTTTGTCGGGTGTTGATGCATTGTCATCAGTGCTTTTTTCTTTTTTATATGTTTGATAATTCTTTCTCGTTGTTCTTGATGAATCAATTTGACTATGGTCTTTCTCAATTACTTTTGATTTGGATTTCGACGTTTGTCTTGTAGTTCGACTTTTAGTTTTTCGCTCATTGGATGTGGCTTCTTCTTGTTGCTTACTGCCGACAACAGTTTCAACTTGTTGCGATCGGGTAATATATAAACGAGATTTTGATGTGATTGAAGAAGTTGGTGATGCCGGAACGTCTTCTCCCATACTATTGTTATCGTCACTAGACACAAACGTATTATGTTTCTTATGTATTTTTCGACGACCGGATCGTGATGTTGCCTCTGCATCATCATTTGTCTTCTGCGACGTGGCTGTTTTCACTTTTTCTACTTCATTTCGTGTTTTTTTATGTCGTCCACTGTTTAACTCTGCCTGCTCTTGAAGACGTAATTCTACCGAATGTATCAGCTGGAAGTGGACTGTTGCTGAAGGCTGCACAGCATGAAGTGATGTGTCTTTTTTATTTAGATTTTGTCGAGTGATTAATGAGAATGGCGTCGTCTGTTGTTGGCAAATTTGTTGAGAAGATATACGTGACGGTGTTGTTTGAGAGCTGCCAGTGACTGCTGTGGATCGAAAACTAGTACGCGGCGTTGTCTGACAGGAACTATTCACAGCACCCGATGTGAGTAATCTTGTTTGTGGTTGTGCACTCTGAAGGCGAGTAACGAGACTTGGTGTGGTTTGACAAGCTAAAGTTGTTTTTGTACCGCTATGATGAACTAAAAATGAAAACTGAGTCTGTATAGAAACTGGAGTGAACAGTCATTCTCTGTTCACGTGAGCATGAGCTCAATAAGAGAATGATACAATG